ATCGATTTTAATAAAGCCAATTTGGGTCAGTTTAGATTACATATGTACATACGTACGTAATAAAATTTAAACATTTCTACAGATGGCCTTGACGAGCTGTTGATTTTGATGTATGTATATGTATGTGTCGTCCATATTCCTTATCAGTGAAAAAAATTATCTCTTTTTTTAGTAAATAGGCGTTTATCAATAATTTAAAATATTTTAGGAATTCATTGCATAAAGATAACCAACATACCAAAAATATCTTAGCCTGAATTGCGCCGTTCTCAAAATGTGAGTATCCGATCCAATTAAAAAGTATATTTCGATACAATGCAAACTAGGTTTTGAACCGGATTTATTTGTCATATATTAAAACTAGTTTAAGCGGATTTAACATATAAAAAAATAAAACCGGTTCAAAACTTTACTGCAAGCTACTAATATTGCGCTTCATGTGACAAGATTACACACCAGTTCTAGTACTTGTAATTCTTTTAACAAATGAAAGCAAGCCCCTTAATTTCATATATTTTTTATAGCCAAACGTTCTGCCTTAAGATTGAAAACAGACAGATTTTGCTCAGTTTTTTATCGTTTAAGACTAACTGTAATTTATCGGTTTATTTATGCAATTTAGTTCCAATAATAACTAGCGTTAATAGTAGTGCTAAATAATATATTCAAATTATTTTATATATTCAAGTTACTTTTACATGTTCAAGTCATTGTGAAGAATTTTTACGATTGACTTTAAATGTAATAAAAAAAATTTACGTTAAACATATTATTAACATTCTACGTTGTATATATAAAATTTATGCGTCCAAAGTGTCCATGCTTCTGTTGCGATTACTGTTAAATTTGCAAATTTACAGTGACGATGAAATAATGCTTTTAAATAAAAATAAATAAAAGCAATAAAAATAATACAACTATTTTAACTACGTACAAATAGTATTTTAAAAATCAAAGCTATTTAAAATTGTTTTTATGCCAAAACAAAAAAAATCACTTATTTCAATAATTCATTATAAAAACTGTAATAAACCCTTTTCCTAAAAATTATAAATAATTCTACAATTATTTTCTAGTTAAATATATATATATAACAATAAACATTGAATAATTATAAATATGATAATAGTTCATTTTAAAATTTTTGAAATCGTTCTTCAACATTAACACCAAATACTGCTACAGAATCAATTCGACCTCTTTTACGTTTCCAATACACTATTGTTGCAACTGTTATTCCAAATAATAAAATAAAAGCAGCGATACCACCTACAATGCCGCCGATAATTAATTTTGTATTATTACTACATGTAGGACTTTGATCATTTGATAAATTTGAATTTGAATTTGAATTTGAATTTGTATTAGTAGCAGGACTGGGTGCATTTGAAGGCGTGTTTGTAGTTGCTACTAAAGGTGTGCCATCCAAATTAACATCTTCAACGTATGGGTGATTATCACCTATACAAACTGAAACAGGTTTAATATTATAACTAGCATTTTTTAGAATTGGCACTACTAAAGGAATTTGAGCTGCGGTTTGATTATATAAATCATGTTGAAATGTTTAAATTTTATTACGTACGTATGTACATATGTAATCTAAACTGACCCAAATTGGCTTTATTAAAATCGAT